TACTAGTTGCTTTGCACCAATTCTTGTGCAAAGATTTGGGACTAATCTCGCAATAAGCACTAGTCATATGGCCACCACCGTTTTCGTTGGATTACATTTATATCCAAAATGGTGCATATTAATTTTTAGATAAATTGTTTTTGTCGAATAAATTACGATTATATATTTATAATACATTATAATTATATATTATTAGGTACATACTATTACCTAGTTATGCAATGTTAGGCGCTTGTATAAGTCCAAGTTTCATAGCAAGAGTTTCACACATAAACACTTCAGCGACAAGTTTAGCTCTGGTATGTGTCGATCCTGAGGATCCTGATGAAACAAGACGCGAGTGCCTTCTGAGAAGACTTAATCGAGCAATCAAATTAGCAGAAGATATAGGTCTCGCACTGGGTATGAAAATTATGTATATATCTTAGAAATTATATTATTAAAATATTCTGTATTCAAGTTTAAAAAGATAATCTTATTTTTAGGTTGTTTAATCGCTGCCGTACTTGTAAAACTAATAGATTCAAAACCTCTCAATACAATAAGCAGTGAAATAAACGACATGTGCGGAGCAGAATACTGTCCGGAGGAAATTTATCTTTATAATAGCACAACTAATTTATCGACATTATCATCTGGTACATCAAAAATATTGGTCAGCATATGGTTAGGCCTTGCTGTTTTAGGCTTAAGTATATCGTGCGCTTTTCTCGACTCTAGAATGAAAGAACCGCAAAGTGTAAATGAAAAGCATAGCATGCAAAATATCCTCGCGTCTGTGAAAGCTGCATTTCTGGATCCTAAATTACAGCTAGCTGCACCATTAACACTTTTTATCGGACTTGAACAGGGTTTTATCTATGCCGATTTTATAGAAGTAAGTATAAAAATATCAAATACAAATATCAACAGATGATTTCAAAATAAATGGATCATAATTCTAAAAATTCCAAGATTAAAAAATAAATATATTAGATAAAAAATTTTAAGATATTCTTTAAGTTAAAATGAGATAAAAATAAAAAATTAAAAAAAATTATATTTTGTTTTTTAGTTATTAATAATGAAAATCAATGAAAATATTTCTGCTCGCGAATAAATCACAGTCTTTTTTTTTTTTTATGAATTATTGTCTATGTATTGTTAGATTTAAAGATTATTGTATGTCTCAATTTAACTAAAATGTAAACTACCATACATTCGTTCATAAGGATATAGTCATTTTTTAATTTTCAACAATTAAAAAGTAAAGCCGAGAAATTTAATTTTCATATTATTTAAATTTAAAAAATTAATTCTTAAATTTTAAGCCAAACGTTTTTTTATCTATGTAACAACTATTTTTTTGTATTTTAACTTAACAAATTTTATAATCTATTTTATTATATATATTTTTTATTATATATAATATATTTTTTTATAATATATTTGTTTATTATATTATGACACATCATGAATATTTCACTATTATTTGACAGGCATATGTAGTTTGTGCTTTGGGAGAAGCTAGCACTGTAACTATCAGTTTTTTAGCTTTAGCCTCTTTACAAGCTCTCGCTGGTGTCACTTTATCGATGTTATTAAGGCACATTAAAAGATATTTCGTTGTAGGTAAGTAAATATATCATTATGAATTTTATTTTTCTTGTTAAATAATCATTATTAAAAATTAATCATGATATTTTATTTAAAAGTTGTAGGATTTGTATTTCACGCATGTTTATTGTTGGTTTTAACTACCTGGAGACCATCCGGTGATGATCCAGCACTTTTTCACGTTATATCTGCTGCCTGGGGAGTTTGTAATTCCATTTGGGAGACTTTAATATACAGTAAGTTATACAGATATTAATTGCATTTAAAAAAACGAAATTTTATATATATATATATATATATATATACAAATATTAAATTTATATAATATAAATTTTATATACACATATTAATCTAATATGATAAAAGTATCATATGTTAATTATATTTTATTATTACTCATATTCCATTGATCTTGTTTAATTTTTAGCATTAATATTAGGTTTATATCCAAATTCTTGGCAAGGACCTCTATCAACGTCTCTCTTTTGGAAATATCTTGGTCTCGCCCTCACTCTTGGCTTACATGGATTGGTCTGTACACGATTTCGAGTACTTGGTCTTTCCGGTGTGTTACTTCTTTCAGTGCTTCCTTATGGATGGTTAGAAATTAGATTGGCGAAAAGAGGAAAAAGCTTGGCACCATTATGACTGGGAGATTCATCTACGAATGATCATAGATCAAGTATCAAAACAGAAGCTCGTTATAAAGATTGAGATAAATTCGTTCCATTCGGCTTAAGAAGGACAAGAAGACATAATAGAAGCAGAAATCCTTTCATGGAACATGCTTCAACTATTGCAAAGTTACGCACACGAAAAAGAGCAAACAGTGTTGCTTTTGCTTGTAATATTGAACAAAATATAACAGCAAAAGATATTGAGCCGCAACCTTCTTCATCGACTGCAAATGATCATCGAGTAAGTATTATAAATCAAGACAGTAGTGGCGTTTTTCCTGTTTCTTAAGATTGAAGATCTTAAGAAATTATGTAATTTTTTAATATTTTCTATGTTTAAATGTAGGTTGGGATTAAGTAACAAAGACAATTTTTAATTCAATAAATTTAATTATATTCTGTGTCTTTTTCCTTAAATGTTAATGTTTCCATATATAATGTTTCCAAATATTCAAGTTGAAAATTTTAATTTTATAATTATTGCAATAGATATATGAAACTTCTTTCATATGCAGATATTCATTTATACAAAGAAAGATGTAATATCAATCAATATTTTATTCATATTTTAATTCAATTTTAAATATTTTTATTATTACACTTCAAGAAACATTTTAGATAAGTATTTTTTTTTATCAAATTTATATTTGTTGTTGAAAAATATAATATTAATTCATTATTTTTACAAAGAGAATTATTACAAAATCATATATTTATAATAATATTAAAATTAAAGATAACAATAGCATAATTGTAAAGAATATAAAGATATTTATCAAAAATTCGATGAAAAAATGCTTTTTACATATTATTAAATTACATAATATTATAAAACTTATAATTTAAATTTTCTATTTATTATTTATTATTTATTAATATTTATCAACATAATATATATTATGTTTAAATGAAAATACGTGTCAATGAATTTTTAGTAATATACTTTTTATAAAAGCGAAAATAAGAAAAAAATATCTGCATACCCAGTAAATAAAAATTATGTTTCAAAATGTTGAGTAAAAAGTCTTTCTTAAAGTTGAATGGAACGATTATATTGCACATGAAATAAAATAAAAAATTTTTCATGTAACAATAAATAAATGCTCTTACGGGCGATTTATTATTCCGTTGTGGTACGATCGGTTTGATAAATCAGCATCGTACAAGACTGAGCGATAGCAAAATATATACTATTAACAATTAAATATAATAAAGTAGTTATTTCTCTGACAAATCATTATAACTGGCGTTCAACCGTCGAAACGTACCTGATGTCTTTCAAAAAAAACCAAATTAATTCTAATCTTGCGGGAAAAAAAGAAGATTGTAAACCACATCTGCCCTATATCTCACAGAATCGAAACGAAATATAATTATAAGATATTTAAATATAAGTATTGTTATATAGTTTAATTATAACTAGATATTAACAATATCAATATCAAAGTTTATCATTCATATGAAAAAATTAAATAAGAAATTAATCGTACAAATGATGAACATTTTTGATTAAAAGAAAGTTAAAAAAATAAGACGCTTCAACAAAAAAGTCAATATATATATATATATATATATATATATATATATATAT